AAAAAAAAAAAAAAAAAAGAATTGTAAGCACTTTGGAAAAAAAGTGCCCACTGATAAATATTCTAATTTTACACATAGTTGATAATACAGGTATCAAGCCACAAGCCTAAAGTAACTCTAAGTCAATGGAAGAGCTGGGAATAGACTCCAAGGCTCCCAAGTCCCAGTCCAATATTCTGAGCTCATGAGTGTCAATTAAAACCATAATCTAATGAAGACTTGTCTTAACCATTTTACAAAAGCAATGTAAACATGCAAAGGAACTGGCAATAAAATTCAGCAGAACAAATAGTCATTGTGCCTCAGGTTCAGAAGTCTTCTTACCCATTTCAAATCCCTTGTGATCTTCACGAACACTCTGAAATAACTGTTCCCATGAACACTGTGAAATAACTGTTCCCAGGGGCTGCAGCTCAGATTGCTTAGCAATGGTTAACTACCGCCAAGATTCTTTTTTTTTCAGTGTAAAGCTCTTCACGCACTGTAACAGTAGCAATCTACTACATTTGTAGTGCTCACATCAAAGAGAGCAGAGAAAGCAGGAAGAAGGAAAAAAACAGTGCATTTTCATGACATTCAATGTGCAAGGATGCTAGAATGGGTCAGCTGTCAACTCAATTTCATGCAACACCTTTGGAAGTTCAAACGCCCACCACCACAAGAGAAACACACAGAAATCATCTGAAAAACCAGTGAGTCTTAAAGTAGGAACAGTTCCTACATACCCATGAGAACTGGACAGACGTATCATTTAAGAAACTGTTATAACAGTTTATTTAATTGCTTCTCTTACCAGTAAGGAATTCTAGGGTAGTTGCTGTCCCCACCAGCTCTTTCACCTCCCCCTACTCCCCACAAGGAAGCAGGATTTAGAATATTGAATATATATGACTTTTATTATTGTTAATAAATGCTTTGTGGAGGACTGACATATATGCATTTTTATTATTTTATTGGCTTTTTTTAAACTTCAGAATCTTGCTTTGCTGGCTATGTAATGCCCACATGCCCAAACTCAATTAGATCAAAACAATTTGGAGTTAGCTATTCCTCTCCAGTATTTATATTGTTTCAAAAAAGAGAACTAAAGTCTCAAGCAACAATCCTGCACTAGTATATGGTTTTACTTAATTCCCACAGTAATGGAGGCTCAGAGTAATTGCAATGGTCGCCTATTTATTTCACGTACTCAGTAAATGGAAGAGCCAGCATTTGAATCCAAATCCATTCTGAACTTGTGATCTAATAAAGATCACAAAGCTGGAAGTGCTTCTTCCAATATGATATTTCCATCATATTTACAGCTTATTCTTCATATCCACTAACAATTTCAGTGATGTAGATACTAGCAGATGATACAGCAATAGGACCTGATTATTGATTATTTGGTCTTTTTATTTTAGGCTAAATATGGCTAATATTTATTCCTGACTCATAATCCAGATGCTGAAGTGATGTCTTCCAGGGATCCCAAATTTCAAACACCTGCATAACAATTTGGATAAAACTTTGGCTTATCCCCACTTCATGACTTTGTATACAAGATTGTCAAAATTTTCCCTGGTCTTCTTGGTCCTGTTTTCTAGTTCCTCTAGTTCCTGATATTATCCAGAACAACAAAACTGTTTTCACCTCTGTAGTTTCCACAGAGCATCTTTATGACCAATATGATGATTTGGTAACTCTAATGTCAATAATCCAAGACTGAGATTATTCAAATGGACTATGCTCCTAGTGCACTAGTCTACAAAATCATTTAATTTTTTAATTCAATTCTGCAACCACAGATGAGAATGTGCTTTTATCTTAGCTCTTAGCACAGCAGGGTGAAATAATCTGTTTATATGTTGATCTCTCCATTAGGTCATAAGCTCCTCAGAGAAGGGCTGTTTACTTCCAGACACAGTAGAGTGCTAGGTACATAGTGCGTATCAATAAACATATATTGACTGAGGTGAATGGTACACTCAGGAAAGCCCCTCTTTGTTTCGGTGAGATGAGAAGGCAGAGCCACATGCCATTCAGCTTCCACTAAGGGAAGGGAAGAGAAGAGAAGAGCAACAGAATCCAAAGCCTGCAACAATGACTCGGCCAAGTAGCAGTACTGAGGCACCCCCATCCAATGCATCTCATTTTCAGCACCAGGTTCTGTATTATTATTATTATTACTAATGGCTAACATTTATTGAAAACTTCTATAATACCAGACACTATGCTAATGAACTTTACAAACATTAGCTCATTTAAACTTCACAGCAATCCAATGAAGAAAATACTCTTATTTTCCTCATTTTACAAATGTTGAAACTGAAACAGAAAAGTTTAGTAACTTGTACAAAATAACAAAACTAGTCAGTGGAAGAGCCAGGCGGGATATAAAGCCAGGTTACCTGACTTCATCCCTCTATGTTATGCCTCTCCCACACAAGGACATAAATTCTGAAGTCTTGTCCTTTACGTGTTGGTTAGAAAGTTCCCGATAATAAAGCCAGTCTGATACAAAAGAGTCACAGTACTTCTATGATGAATGAGTCTACTATTACTATTCAAATTGACCTTGGTAGCATGATCAGAAAGGACTGTGATCATGTGACCACAGGATTGCTAGAATTTTTTTTCTTCTTTGAGCATCAACATAAGTAGTTGAATTGATCTGATTGTCATTTTACATTATATTGCTGATGTTTACTCTGTGTTCTTCCAACTATGCTTATATAGAACACTGCATCTCTCAGAACTAGATTAATCCACAGTTTAATTCCATCTCTTAAACAGTGACATCACTAGATAGATGCCACTATTAGTATGTTGGAAACCTCTGCTTTTTCATGTAACAGTAGTGATGAAGATGTTGGTAATTCCAGGCTGAAACTTTATATCCTACCTGATCATCCATGGGCCTTTGGTCATGGTTTCCAGCTCTAAAGGGACTAGCATTTATACTGGATATTTTACCTATTTTACTACAAGCCAGTACTTCACATTGCACTAAAGGCTAATAATGGAGAGGAATTCAAAGGAAAAATGGGAGAATGGGAAAAATTTTGAGCAAAGGCACAAAGCAGACCATCTGCAACAGGTTTAGAGATGCATCAGTAATTCTGTGTGGTTGAAACGCAGGCTGCTTGGAAGATTCTCACAACAGTCAAAAAGAACTTGGGGCCAGATCAAGGAGGAGTATAAAAAGTGCCAGTCTGTATTTCACTAAGTATAGAATAGGCAATCATCAAAGAAATAATATTCTTTCAGAGCAGAAGAATAACATGCTTGATTAGAGCGGGGTTTTGGAAAGGTTTCTCTGGCAGCTTGGAAAAGGATGAATTTCTACAAGGCATGATGGAAATGGGGAGAATAGCTTAGAGGCAACCCCAACAGTTTAAGTAAAAAATAATCAGATCCTAAGCTAGGGAAACACTGATGCTCTAATAATTTGTTTGACTGAACCATAGTACCCTGCCTTCATTACTCATTAGGGTCTTTACAAAAAAATGAAAGTACTCCAGGATTTCAGGCGTATTAATTTCTTATTTCTCAGCAGGAACCCTGGCTCAACCTATAGTTTTTACATAATGACAATTATAAACAAGATGGAGTGTATTACTCTCATTAACAAAAAATTATGGCTGTACATTAGAAAAGCTCTTGATGAACTAATATGCTATACAAAAGACATCACCACTAGCCAAGTAAACAGGACCCAAAGCACAGCTCTACTAATGTATATTTTAGCATCTAGTTATACTTAACTAGATAATATAAACACATCATTTTCTTTGTGAAGTACCATTCTAGAATAAAAAAAGAAATTTCTCCAAATTTTTTTAAGCTCCTTGGCTATTTATATCTGATATTTCACTGTGACCCTTCTTAGCTCCCATTAAAGGACTTATTAAAATGACTATGCCTGATACTCAGCCAAGATGTATTCTGTGAACTCTATTTCAGCACCTTGAATCCAATTTGTTGAAAAATAATTTTAAAAAAGACCCTTACACTTTTTTTTTGGTGGTATGCACATTGTGAAGCACACTACTGTGTTTTGGACAGTTCTTGGCTGTCCAACTACCAAAATCAAAGACTGTTTTATTCAATTACCTATTTGTATTATAATATGACTATATGTAAAGTCCTTTACAGTTAAGAGGACACTTCTCAAAATCATTTCATTTAATCCCTAGGATATAATCACTTTTAAATTTGCATGTCAAAAAGGCAGACAGAGTTTTAAATCACTGAAAATTATTTTCTTAAAAGATAAATAACGATAAACCCAAAACCAAACCTATTGCCATCGAGTCGATTCCGACTCATAGCAACCCTATAACACAGTAGAAATGCCCCCATAGGGTTTTCAAGGAGCAGCTGGTGGATTTGAACTGTCCGTGTTTTGGTTAGCAGCTGAGCTCTTAACCACTTAACCAGGGCTCCAAATAATGATAATAGCCTATATTTATATCATATTTTACCTCTTAGTGGTTTTTTTTAGATTTTTTGATATTTCTTTTTTTTTATTGTTGTAGTTTAAATGAAGTTTACATTTTAAGTTAGTCTCCCATACAAAAATTTATACATACATTGTTATGTGACCCTAACTGCTCTCCCCTTACTGTGACAGCACACTCCTCCTTTCCACCCTTGATTCCCCATGTCCATGCAACCAGCTCCTAATCCTCTCTGCCTTCCCATATCACCTCCGGACAGAAGCTGTCCGTTTAGTCTCCTGTATCTACTTGAGCTAAGAGGCACAGTCCTCATGAGTATCATTTTATGTCCCACAGTCCAGTCCAATCCCTGTCTGAAGAGTTGGCCTCAGAAATCGTTTTAGTTCTGGGCTGATAGAGAATCCGGGGGCCATGCTTTCCGGGGTTCCTCCAGTCTCAGTCAGACCATTAAGTCTGGTCTTCCTACTAGAATTTGAGTTCTGCACCTCACCTTTCTCCTGCTCCATCAGGGACTCTCTGTTGTGTTCTCTGTCAGGGCAGTCATTGGTGGTAAGCCAGGCACCATCTAGTTCTTCTGGTCTCGGGCTGATGAAGTCTCTGGTTTATGTGGCCCTTTCTGTCTCTTGGGCTCCTCTTAGTGTTTTTAATGAGGAAAAATTACAGCCTTAGAATGACACTATAGAAATGAGAAAATCATGTAGATTTGTTTTCAGAAGGCAGGATGATGTAGTAGAAGGAATACATTCTTCCACAGTTCTATCTGGCTCTGCCACTTGCTAGCTCTATGTACTTGGACAAATCCCTATTCTCTCTGAGACTCCATTTCTTCTCAAGTAAAATCCTAATAAAAGTACCTTCTTTACAGGGTTATTGTGAATATTAAAGGAAATTACATCTGAAAAGTACCTGGTCATTTCCAGGTGATTGCTACCCTGAAGGCCACTGTGCAAATTACTTGTGGTCATCTCTCATTAAAAATGAGCATGAAAATAATATCAACTTTATGTGTTGGGCTCCTGGAAGTAATTTTTCACGTACTATCTCAATTAATCCTTATTCCAACCCTTTGGATTTCACCAGTGAAGAAATGCAGGTTCAGAGAGGTTATAACCTGCCCAAGGTCATACAACTAATAACTGGCAGAAACAAGAACTATTTCTGTATGACCCCAAAGTCACTATTCTTAATTACTACTATGTTCCCTACACTGAGTAGTATAAAATACAAATCAAGTTCCAATGGGAAGGAAGGAAGTATAATTACATGGTAGTGACTTGCACTTCTAGGCACTCAATAAATATTCGCTGATGAACACATGAATAAATAGATGGATCCATGATGGATAGATAACAGACTAGCCTCGGGTGAGAAACAAAACAAAACACTGAGGATTCCATTCCAGAGAGAAGAAACTCTAGATAACAGGACACCCAAGTCTGTAAAAGGAGAAATGACAGAAAAGGGGGAAAAACAAATACATATTTGCCTGGACCAGCCCTGAAGTAAGGGTAGGTCTTAGTATATTATATTAAATTGTCAGATGAAAAAACAAGCATGAGAGATGATGCTTGGCATTCTACATAATGCAAGTGCTTATGACAAGTTTAAAAACTACAAATAGCAATAATACCAAAAGTAAAGTTGGAACTTCTTACATTTAGTCCAATACAAGAGACCACATGGCCTTTTAAATAAAAAGCAACCTTTTAAGTCAATCAATGAAACCACCATAACTGGCTCTGAATAGATACCAGGATGGTATTTGTGGTACCCTAGCTAATTAGAGGATCACATCCATACATCACTTCCTAGACTTTCTCTCTTCACATTGTTTCAACCTTTAAGTGATTTCCTTCTCTCCTTCTTATCCTGCAATCCTTGGGACCAATGCACGTTTTCAAAACAGAAAATGTGAAAGCAAAGTAGGTCTGGGAGTCCTCTGAAAAAAGACATTAGCCAACTTTTCAGTGAAATGACAAAATATTTATGAGCCCTTTCATGTTATAAAGTTAAAAACAATCACCAGTGAATTCTTTAAAAATGTTTAGACATTCTTTCAGTAATAAAGCATGGATTTCCATGATCATATTCTAAATAGAATTTGCCAAAGAAAATAACAAAGAGTAAAATAATATTCACTCATATCTAAAATTATTTTTAAGCCATTGGCAGTTTAAAGAAGCAAATTAAATAAAACTGACAAGTACTCGCTTCTGATCAAAAGGACTAGATTTTTTTTTGGGGGGGTGACTGTTGGGGAGGAGAGAGAGTGAATACCTGAGTCAAAACGTCAAAATCCATAACTACTTTCAAACTATCAAGACTGAAAAAAAAAATTAGATAAATATATCCATGGTTAAAAGTCACTGTTTACAACAAAATTGCTTTTTAAAAGATTCTACTACTTTTTATATTCAAGAAATCGGAAGAACTTTTTTTCGAAGACAAAACAAAACCCTGAAAACTTTATAAGTCCTACTTTGGATTTCAGACAATAGATTGTTTAATGCGGGGCGGGGGGAGGGGAATACATTTCTTTATGTTCAATATACTTTCACTCCTTTTGTTTAAAGTTTATAAGGCTTTTATCCACAGATAACAGTAAAATAGCATGTGACGTTTACCTCAGACTCAGACACACACACACACACACACACACACACACACACAAACTGAATGTATTGTTCCACAGTGGGTGGGATGAATAATGGCAGCCAAAGTGTTACCACACGGGTCAAACACACTTGTGGGCCTGTGGCATTTTCAAATCTAGGAATCGAAAAATAGTTCTATTTAGTCATGAGGAAGTTAGTAAACACCCAAACACCCAAGTCATTTTTTTTTTCTTTTAAGGAGGACACACAGAACTGCAACCTGTTAATTTAATTAACAAACAATAGACAGGGCTTCTACTCAGTTCCTACTCTAGGAATCACTGAAGTGGGGAAAGTTCAAGGTCTGTTCCGGTGATGTCCCTTACCCCGGGGAGCCGGGAGTTTAACAATTTCCACCGAGAGGCATTCGCCTACGAGCCTCCCCTGCCCTAACCCAGAAGGGCTGGTGCGTGTTTCCCTCCTTGACACTTCACCCTGCCTCTCTGAATGCCATCCTCAGAAAGGAGGAGAAACGGCGCCGCGGGGACCAGGGGGCCGGGGTATCGCGGCCGCCTCTGCATTCGCGGCCAACAGCGAGGAAGCAGGCCGTCACAGAGGGCTCCTCTGCGGCTGGACCGCGCGGCGGGGGAGGAGCGCCCAGCCCAGGGTCCGCGTACTCACCCGAGCGGGCCGCACGAGGCTCAGGGCGTCTGCACACGGGGGACTGGGTCGAGCAGAGCCCTCTGCCGCGCCGGCGGCCTCGCTAGGAAGGGCGCCGAGACAGGCTGGCGGCGTCGCTGCCGTCGCTGCTGTCAACGAGCTATAAATACCGGCTCGGCCCACACCCGCCGCCGCCTACGCCGGGCGCCCTTCGCTCTCCCAACCGCAAAGTCCACCCGCTTCAAGCCAGGCAGCCGGAGAGCAAGGATGACGGCGCTGCGCAGGTTACGGTGATCGCCCCAGCTGTGTAGCAGCCTCCGCAGCTGGAAGCATGGCCTCCCGCCGCCCACGCCCTCCCGCTCCCTTCCCTCCGGCCCGCACCGCGGGCCGACTCCAGCCCGCGGGCCGAGTGCGCAGCTCCCGAGCCTGCCCCGCCGGGCCGCCTCCGCAGACCCGGCCGCTGCAAACAGGGGACGATTTAGGAATCGGACGTAGCGGGGAGGGAGGGTTGAGAACCGGCTTCAGCCTAGTGTCAGCAGCAGACCCTTCTTCCTACGGGAATCGCCAGATTTCTTACAAAACTCACCATCCATCTGGGAACCAATGATGTTCCCAGGTAGAATACCCTGAAAAAGCTGCAAACTTTCTGAAACCGGCTGAAATCACAAGCACCCTTTCAGCTTTTATCTGTTGGGGGGTGGGAGGAAGAGAGAGCGCGCGAGGAGTACGAGAAGTCTTATATCTCCTTTCTAGTCTGTCTGGTCTGACACAGACACATATACATAATTACATATATACACACATATATATCTTACACACATATTCATATGCACACACACAAAAATAAACACAGATGCACAACTACACACATGCATACACACACATATACGCACACACATACAGTCGTACAAACACATTTATACACACATTAATGCACATATATACATAAGCACACAGTGCAATTTTTAACCTTTTTTCAGTTTGAGGCCCTCAGGAGCCTATCATTCTGCAGTGCTTAAATGATTCCTCTGCAAGAGGCAGGAAGACCCTTTAACCAATTCCTTTCTCCCTGATGTAACCTCTTTTCCATAAAAAATATGTGTGGCTTTGTTTCCTTCTACATCCAATAGCAATTGCTACTGCAGTTTACTGGATACTATGTTAAAAGCTGCTATCCAGCACGCTGGTTTTCCATGTTAATGGAAGTGATCACTAGTTTGTATAGTCAAATGGAAAATGGGACAATTCATATTTGCCCACAGCAGCAGATTTATGAGAGGAAACTAATCCTTCTCCTGCACTGGCAGCATGATTCAGAAATGGGCTGAGTGACAAGAGGGGGAGCTGAAAAAGATGTCAGCAGATTTTGAGATGGGATGGAGAGAGCCATTCCCAAACGCTGCAGTGTGGCTAGTCTGCACAAGGACAATTGGGAGTTCACTGGCATACTTCTTGCTAGTTTGACATCTTTTCTAGCCTCTAAGAATGACCATATCTCTATGTTTGTAAGTCATAGTTTGTGATCATTTTATGGGACTCTTAGCTGAATAAGCTTTATTTTTGTGAAGCTTTCACAAGCTTCTCAAGTGTTATTTCATATGTTGTATCACCTAGCACTTGTACATTTTGCTATAACACTTCTTACATTTTGCTTTACTTTTTTGCAACTTCTTTTTCTCCCCCGCTAAACTTTGAACACTTTGAAGGCAGAGACAAAAATCTTACTCATCTTTGCATCTTCAGCACCTAACAGAGTGAGTTACAGTAATGGCTCAATAACTAGTGGATTAAATCCATGGATTAGCTTCTACTGTGCTTTTATGATTACAGTTAGGATTATTTTCCAAATAATTTTTAAACTGTGTAACTGTTTACCATGGGTTTCATATGCTATATTTTCCTTGGATCTCCATTTAAAGCAAGGACTCTTCAATCAGTTGAAACTGGAATACATTAAAACTTGACAAGTTACACAGCATAATAGAGGTCTGTGGAGAGGCGAAAGAAAAAAGGCACATTCCCTATCGAGAGACAGACTGAAAAATACATTGTATTTAAAGGATAAAAAACCCAAAAACCAAACTCATTGCTGTCAAGTTGATTCTGACTCACATCAATCTATAGGACACAGTAGAACTGCCCCATGGGGTTTCCAAGGCTATATTCTTTAAGAAAGCAGACTGCCACATCTTTCTACCGCAAGAGTGGCTGGTGGGTTCGAAACGTAGACCTTTCAGTTAGCAGCTGAGCACTTAACCAGGATCCAAAACAAAACCCATTGCCGTCGAGTCAATTCCAACTCATAGCGACCCTACAGGACAGAGTAGAACTGCCCCATAGGGTTTCCAAAGAGCGTCTGGTGGATTCGAACTGTCTACCTTTAAAATTGATTAGCAGCCCAGCTCTTAACCACTGTGCCACCAGGGCTCCACAAAAATCATTTAGCAGGTTCTCTTTGGTCTACTTGAGAAAGAGAGCTCACTCCACTCCAGCTTAATCAGTTGAATTACATGGGTATCTACTAGAACGGACTTCATTTAATCCCAAGTATTATTTCACATGTTGTATCACCTAGCACTTTGTACATTTTACTATAACACTTATAATAGAAATGTCTGGTTTCAGTTACATGGAGCTTGTCACCCTACCTTTAGATCCCTGTCTTCTTAATAAATAGCTTCTCTTCCTTTAATAATAATTTTAAGAATAGGCTTGACTAATACCTACTATTTGCTCTTTCTTGAAGAAGTCTCCAAGTTTAGAGAATATAGTTCTCCAGGACCAGCTTAAGGAAAAAATGATGCAATGGGCAAAGTTTGTTCTCGCTGCAATGTTCCCTTTGTTCTGCAGCCACCCAGGATCTCCAGTTTAGCCCCATCTCAGGACCAAGCAGAGGAATAGCCTTTACACTTTAATGTTTGTCACAATAAAGTGTAGTAATAAAAGTTCATCTTGTTTAGAGCACATTGTGTGAATATGGCCTTAGGCATCCAAAACCCATTCAGCCTATTCAAAGACAAATCATAGTCAGGACTGAGGCTACTGCCCTACATGTCCTGCAGTCTCTTTCCATTCCCAGTTACTACCACACAGACCTGTTAGGAGTTTTAAATAACTTGTGTGTAAAACACCTACGCAGTGTCAGGTATACAACAGGTGCTAATGAAGCCAATTCTTCCTCCCCTCACACCTTACTGTTCTATGAAAAGCTTTCCTCAGGGCCAAAATCTATTCGTATAATAGATTGCTAACTCAAAGAAATTAACCATTTTTCTAGTGTTGGCCAGGAGTGGTTTTCAAATAGTATAGGCAGAAATCCCAGAAAGAAACCAAGATGGTAGGGCTCCAGATCTCTCACTCAGCCATCCTTATTTTAACCCAAGCAGCTCCATTTCTTTTATACATTAGAGCTCAGCAAATCGTCTAGTTTCAGGGCAATGTTAGAAATAGTTTAAATAGGCAACACTCAAATCACACTATCCCATCATCCCATCCACTTTCACAAAAGTCAACTCTGTAGACAGGCATAAAATACATCTTATTTACACACAATTCCTTTGTAAAATCTGATTCATAAGTTAAAAAATTAGAAGTAATTACATGAGATATGGTCCTTTCTATTCACCTCACATACTTCAGTAGTTAATAATATAGTTTGCTCTGTACTTAAAAAAGAAAAGAAACAGACAAGCTCAATGTACGTTTCAAAAATGAATAAAAACTTTGATTATGACCAAACTATATCCTCTCCAAATGGCCCTTTTAAGGCAAGAGGAAACTACAGCTAGAAGCATCAATAACTTCTATCAAGTCAATGGGAAGCACTTTCGTCAGTGATTTGATGGACTCCTAGCAAAAATATTTTTAACTTCCAATAGGTTAATCAGGATAATGCTAATTGCACACTAGGAATATGAACAGCATAATTTCCTTATTGCCAAAGAGGCAAGAACTGAAATTTGAACATGATCCATAATTTTCTTCTGGTATTTTCAAGGCAGTGGCTCTGCTGCCAGGATTTTCCTCAAAAGTCTTAATGTCCACTGTCTATTCTCATTGTTCAACAAACACTGATCAATATCTTAGACCACATGTCCTGAATGTTGGTTGGGAAAAGATGATTATCACATGTCTACTGCCTGGAATACAGAGCCTGGGCTCCAGAATCTGACAGATCTTGGCTTGAATCCTGGTTCTGCAACATAGTAGCAATGTGATATTAAGCACTTCACTTCTCTGAGCCTTTTTATATTAGTAGCATCTGCCTCCCAGGTTGTTAATGGGATTAAATAATGAAGGCTACACTTTTAGTATTTCATCTGGTACATATTAAGTTTTCCGTAACTATGGACTTTTTATTCATCTCACACTTGCACTGCTTATATTCTGCATGTCCCACAGAGTTTATTTTACTAAAGGACTGATTATCTGCCCTTAAGCCTTATAATGGCTGGCCAAAGGGACTTTTCTGTCCAGTTGTTAAAGCAGAGGAGTCATGCAAACAGGGGGTGAACTAGCAATCTTGCCAGAAATAAAGCCGTAGACCTGCTTGGTGGGCAGCATTACCCCTGACTCACAGCGGGCTGCCTTTCAAAAGGCCGCTCCTCTTGTAATGACACAGGGGCAATTATTCCCCTGCCCACTTCACACCTCTTCTTGCTTTTCTCTCTGCCCCACTCCTGCTCACACGTACATAAAGGCCCTAAAAACTGACCATACCTCACTTCAAGGTGCAATTTTTGGTTGGGATTGGTAATGACCTCAACCACAGGAATGTGACAGCTGATTTTAAATGGCAAATTTGCCTTTGGGCACTTTCTGGCTGACCTCCCTTCTTTCTGTTTGGTTTCTCCTAAAACAAATGGTATTTTCCCCTCTTCAAAACTGTTTCCAGACCCAAAAGACTTGATAGCAGGGACTCAAGCACATACTTTCACACCAATGGTGGAAACAACTCAAATATCCCTCTACAGATAAATGGATAAACAAAAGGTGGTACATACATACAATGGAATATTATTCAGCCATAAAGAGAAATGAAGTTCTGATACATGCTACCATATGAATGAACCTTGAAAACATTATGCTAAGTAAAATAAGTCAGACACAAAAGGACAAATACTGTATAATTCCACTTATATGAAATACCTTGAACAGGAAATACACAGAGACAAAAGTTTATCAGTGGTCATCAGGGGATAGGGGAGGAAGGAACGTGAGTTATCACTTAAGGGGTACTGGGTTTCTGTTTGGGGTGATAAATTTTTCTGGGAAATGGATAGTGGTGATGGCTTGCAGAGCATCACAAATGTGATTAATGTCACTGAATTGTACACTTA